GTGGTTTAATCCTCTTTCCCAAGACTTAAGAGATTGTATGAAATGAAGTAGTCTCCTTTCCCTGAGCTGATACTAAATAGCCATCCGCAAGCATGGTTCTGCAAGTAAAGCCATTGTTCATTTGTAAAGATTACCCCCTACTTCTACAACTTGACTCAGCCTTCATGACTGGATGCCTCTGAATTTCTAAGCCACTTTGTTTTGCAAAGGATAATGAGGTGAGCTATTTCATCATATGGGTACATTCTAGGGAGCTGACTTTTTCTGTTGTCCCAAGTTCAGACTAGACTATTGTTCTTCTGATGGTAAACATTAACCTGTTAGGTTGCCAGTAAATATTGCTCTACTCTACCTTGAAAAATAATATTAGAGAGGAAACATTTAACTCTTGAGGACAAATTTGAAATTCTTTATCACTGTTATCTAATATGAAATACATATATGTGATGGTGGTGCATTTCAAATTTACTTGCCTAAAGATAGTTTTGCCTAAAGTAAGTATTTGGACTCCTAAATAAGAGGCCTGGCCTTCCAAGGTGCTTGGGGATGGCTTTTGAGATCCCAAGCAATGACGCCTCCCACTTCACAGTATTGTTTTTAAGAGCAACTTTGTGAGTTAATTCCAAGAGCCCGTGTACAAATGGTTTATGCTCACTAATGGTGTATATGGTGGTCAGTATTTAACAGTGATGATCCCAGTGTTGATTACTCTTACATTCATGCATTGTCTAGATCTCAGTCTCATACCTTTAGCTGGGTAAGAAATCAGTTGTGATCAAATACTTGGACTGTAGCTGATCAAATCAGCTATAAATGAACCAAGTCTCACCATCTGACCTTCACCCTTTGTGCAGGGCATCAGCTTTCACAACTCTCTGCTAGGTGTGTGTGGCAAGTTAGGTGCTGTGCTTGCATCCCTGAAATGTCTAGGTGTGTCAGACTGTCTACCAATATTGTCATTCTGTCATCACACTGACATCTCAGAAAGGGCTGAATCCATCTTCATCTCTGGCTGCAGCTCAGCTGATTACAATCTGTGGCAGAGAGAAAAGTCATTGTTACGTGATTCTTCTACTGTGTAATTCCACCTGTACCAGCTACTCATTTCAGTGACGTTGTTCTGATGTGAAACTGAAATATTTCTGCTGAAATCCCAGGAGCTTCTCCAGCTTTATACGTTTTTGTAACATACCCTCAGCCTATATTTTACAGACTAATCAGTCTGGGTTCTTATCTGCTAAATCATCCAGCAGCAGATGAGATCCGCCCTGGTTCATTCTTTGCACAATTTCCTCAGATGTGTGTGGTTGCCTTTCTGGAGATAATTCCTACCTGGTTTTGGTTTCTGTAGCAAGACATTGCAGAACCTGCTGTTTTAACGTGGTCGGAGCTGAATAGCCTCCTAGCCTGTACAACTTGTCTGTGAGTGTTTGCTTTTCTCCCACTCTTCTCTGTCCCACAAATAGTAAGCAGTCTAAGGAGACACTTACATTGACAGGTGCAGGTAGTCACGTGGCCCTTTTGCCTGCTCTCCAATGTCCAAATAGGATCCAGTTCTGGACTAGTGGCCTTTCAGTCCCATTAGCATGGTGGAAACGTCTGAGATACTGTCACAGCTGAGAGGCAGGGCATGTTCCTTGGGTCTCGGGGCCAGCCTTGTACAGCTGCACAAGCTCAGGACTGAACTTCAAGCCTGGCATGGTGGCAATGTGGTAGAGCAGGCATGTGACTCTTTAGAGACACACAGAAAAGGGGTTTCAGTTTACCGTTCAGAGATCTCCTCTGGATGGAGCTGAATTTCTCAATTGCATCTCTGAAAATTGTAAAAGTAGGTAAAACCATGCACGGGGAAAAAAAATGCAGTCATATTTGACTGTCTGCAGCATGAATCCTGTCATCAGTAATAGTCATATAATTTTAAAGAAGCCAACCGTTAAGTCCCTTGTTCACCTTCAGTGAAGTTACATCCGTAACTAGTGCAAGTAGAGAATAGTTTCCCAGTACACATTTGCTTCCATGGGACTGCCCCATAGTTGTCAGGAAGTGGGGCAGGGACTCAGGTCAAGCAAAGTCACGGTGAATTCAAGCAGAACTACTTTGTGGTGCAACAGATCATCTATCTGGGAAAACATGCATTATTAATCCTGTAGGTGTCTGTGGTGAAGAAACACCTGCAATGTCTTGTCCTCCTGCCTACCATGATAATTTGCCCTCTTTGCTGTAGGAGACTGTCTGCTCCTTGGGAAGAAAGTGCCCACCTGCCTTGCAGGACTGTGTTAGAGTGGAATGAGCTTGATGCTTATTTACTGGTTTCTGCATTGTCCCATCTGCTGGGTTTATGCAGAGGTGAGCCCTCCAGGCTCCACAGAGTCAGTCATGTGGAGGTCGTCTGCCAGATAGCCACTCACTACCACCTGTGATATAAGAAAAGTGCCAATGCAGTACCATGTATTTTAGCATGGCATAGTTTCTAGATAAACTGAAGACCATCTTGAGTTCCTAAGGAAAGAGCTGGCAAGCTCTGTAGTTCTAGAATGAAGAAAAAGTGTTATGCTGTGAGAAGACCATACCTTGACCTCATGTTCTATGCAGGTGAAGCTTAGATGATTGGCTTGTAAAATAGCAACTCTGTAGTTAGAAGGTCTGTTGTTTAGATGGATTAACTGTTCTATGGGAATAAAAGGTCTGTGCGTGCTGCCTCTAAAACCAGAGGCACTTGGAAAAAAGATACAGCAACAGCTGAGTTGGCTTCAGAAGCACTGTTGCTATGCTTGCATGTTTGCATGATACTGTCCAGCATGTCCAATTCAGATACATTACTTCGGACATACGGTGGCAGAGATGTGGCCACCTGTGCCTTAAAAGTCAGCAAAGCTGCACAGCTTAGAATAGCACTATATCGGAGAGCTCTGCTACCAACAACGTCACCGCTAACCTTCTGTTTTCTTCTCCATTTCGCATCTCTATGCTTTTGTTACTGCAATTATTGTGGTCTAGATGACTGTTCAGTAGTATTTTTTTCTTTGTTTAGATTCTCTCCTTATCATATTTCTCATTTTCCCAGGTTAAGTAAGCATTGGTTATGTCACTCCAGCACAGTATCTGTCAATAGAGGGAGAACACTTAATATCTTAGTAGGTCACTCAACTTCTTGGGTAGGGACCAATGAGTTATCAACTTCCACCTCTGATATGTATTCTTTAATCATCATTTATATATAAACTTGGACTCCCTCTGAAAACATCTAGAGTTTGTAAATCTGATATATGGGAGTTCATACTCCTGTTCAGGTTCTGAGGTCCACACACACGATTGGGGCTTTTCAGGTGATTAGAGAAGATTGGGCAGAAACACATTTTTGTATCTTGAAGATGTAGTGAGGAAGAAAAAAACTTGTGCGTAAGATTAGGTTGTGTGATTAAGATCAGTTCTGGATCTAAAACTTAGAAGCATTTTCAAAATTGCTGTCAGACCTGAAACATTGCAACTGTGATTGCGGTGGTTTCCCTCCCAAGAAATTTTTATCTACGTTGTAGAAAAAGGCATGAAAGGAAGAATAGCTGGTGGTTTTGAAGTCCATTTATTGATGGTGTTATGGGATCCTTCTGGTTCTGCTGCATCGATCAACTAAATAGCCTCTAATCCCAGAGCTGCAGGAGTCTGTCTCAGTCAACGCTGAAGAGTAAACAATGCTGTGTAGCACGCCAGAACTAGTGCTTGAGAGGCCACAAGGCTGCTTCTGCCACTTGAAGATGAGATTTTGTTACGTGGTTTTGAGCCTAGACGTAGACTGAGCTCCAATTGATACGCCACAGAAAACACCTTATTTTAATATGCAAGAAGCAAATAACAGAATGGTGGAAAAGCAGCAACACTAAAATGCGCTTCAGGTGGTGAAGCTTCAGAGCTGCTTCAAGTCTTTTCACATTTAGTAAGCTTTAAAAACTGAATTTAGTGTTCACAGCGGCATGTTAGTGTCCTGCTGCAAAGGCAGCAGGTTTTTTCCATTCTGGCACTACATTGGTGTGTCTGAATTTAGGCAGGTTAAAGAGTTTTCAATTCTGAAACTCTGTGTTATGCAATATGCTTAACACAAGGAATGCTCATCTTACATGTAATACTGGGAGTTAAAAATCAATCTGAAGTCATAGCTGTGAGCAGATATTCCTTCTCTGGTGGTCACATTGAGCCTGTAAAAGCTGTAGTGGTACATGTGATATTGCTTTTGTTGCAGGGCTTTTGTGCTGGGAGTTGGCATGAGTAAATATTGTTTCATGGCTCAGCAGGTCTCCACATGTCATTTTTCAATTGTTTATCCCATTGGATAGGCTTATTGTAGGATACAGTGTTACCGTGATGGACTGGCAAAGGAAGACTGATGAGAGAAGAGTGCTGGTTCAGTGAAGGATGAAGGGCAGGATTTGGAGCTTTGATCTCGTTGCAGGTCATTTTAGTCAAACAGTTCCTACGCTGCAC